CGATTCAAAGTCAAAGTGCGCCTGACGGATCCAGCGGCTGGGTATGCAGGATTGAAAGCCAATTTGGCCAACTCCGATGCCAGCAATACCAGAAACACCTACTGCGTCAACAATTTCGGTCACACCATCTTTCGAGATATCACCCTGAGCATGAATGGGGTCCTCATGACTGAACAGAGCAACACCTACCATTACAGAGCCTACCTAGAAACCCTCCTGAATTACAGCCGAGACGAAGGAGCCACCAAGCTAGCCCCTCAAGGATGGGTCAATCAGCTCAATGTGATTGAAGAAATGAGAGCCGCAGGAGCCAATTCTGGTGTGCCCACCAATGCGAATTGGAGTGGGAATACAGACTTGCGAGCCTTGACCAGCCGGTTGCTAGACCAGAATTGGCAAACCTTCATCATTCGTCCCCATTTGCCACCCTTCAAGACAGGCAAATTGTTGGTCCCCAATGCCCAGATGGACTTTGAACTCTTCCTCAACCCCAACACCGTCTACTTGATGGGCACCCCTAACAAAGGGACCTTGAATGACAAGAAATTTCCAGCCATCCACAGTGAAGACATCAAAGTCACCTTGCTGATGAGAAAAGTGACCCTGAATGCCAGCGTCTATGTCAGACTGCAGAAAGAAAGACAGCTGGGGAAACAGATGGCCTGCTACCCAGTCGTGCAGAGCGAAATTCGCATGTTTTCCTTCGATGGACGAACCACCCAGTGGGAACAAGACAATGTGTTTGTGGGTCGATTTCCTGACAGAGTGATTTTCGGGTTATTGCATTCCAATACCTTCAAGGGAGACCTACAAAGATACCCCTTCGCCTTTGAAAAGTTTGGCGTCACCCAAATACGACAGACCTTGAATGGAGAAGAATACCCTTACAGAACCCTGCAACTGACTGGAGGAGAAGCCTATGAAGATCTACTGGGGTACGATCGATTTCTACAAGCCATGGGTGCCTACAATGAAGATAAGATTCCTATGATGCTGCCTGGTGATTGAGGACAAGGCAAGAACTGCACGTTGTTCATGTTCAACAATGTGCCCAGTGGGAAAGCAGATGACTGCCAGTATCGGAACCCCCGTCAATCGGGCAATGTGCGACTGATCCTTGATTTTGCTGCCGCGGTCAATCACAACATCACCGTGTTGGTATGGAGCGAGTATGAAAACATGTATGAGATCAATCATCTGGGAGGTATAAAGTACAACATCAACGGCTGATGTAGCCTCAGAAGTCAGAAGACACCGGTCATGGAGTTTGTGGCGCTCAGTGATACCGTGTTGCGGACCTTGGCCCTGGAGGATCCCACATTACGACGCGTATTTCACGGGATGTACCCTACCGACCAGCTACCCCGATCACCCCCCCAGGAGTGTCCGTCAAGCGTACATTGTCAACACCGATCCTGCGGGAGAACCGGGACAGCATTGGTTGGGCTTGTGGACGGAACAGAACAAGTGAGAGGTCTTTGACAGTTATGGTCTACCCCTGCACGTGTACACCAACCCGGAGTTGCACCAGTGGTGGGGTCAATGGAAGTACCTGACTCGCAGTGACATGACCTTGCAAGCCGTGGATAGTCAGACCTGTGGCCATTATGCTTTATTTTTCTTGAAAGCCCGAGCGCAAGGACGGTCGTATCAAGAATTTTTGAGTCAATGGAGTTCCGACAATTTAGTGTTAAATGATCATAAAGCGGCCGAACAGTTGAAACGTGTAATCAAACAGGCATTACAAGATGAAGTCGATGCCCGACCCGACGGGCAAAAGAATGTGAGCCGCCAGGCCTTTATGCTTTGTCATCAGTGTGATCATTAAATCCAATAAAAAAACATAAAAACGACGCGTTCTGTGCATGAGTCTTGTGTCATCATGATTACTCGAGGCGATGTGCAGCGCGTAGTGGATGCGTTCCTATTAGAAGAAACCGTGTATTGGTGGGTACACCCGATCGAGCGGGTCAACACAGTCCAAGGCATCGATGCGTGGGATGGGTATCATTGTTTAGTGGCCCGACAATTGGCGCGAGACCAAGACTGGGTCTCCCTCAAGCACTACATGGACACGATGGGTGAAACGTATTTAAGAGAGACCATGGCAGGTCTGATTCAGTCCGAGTCTCCACGATTGTACCGCGAATATTGGACGGTATGCCCAGTCGCAGACGACGACAGCGCGCCTCTTCCCGACGACGCCGCTTTCGCCAAAACGGGCGGGGCATCATGAGTGTGTTGTCCAAATCGGCCAAAATCGGTTATAAATTGGGACGCAGCAAACGGTATAAACGCCTGGGCGCCAAAGGGGCCACGGGTCATTATTGACGTCACCCTCGACCGTGGGAATCATGATCCGACAACCCAGTAGTGTGATCATTGCTGGCCCGTCGGGAAGCGGTAAGAGCGAGTTGGTGGAACAATGGTTACGGTACCTCAACGTCTTTCAAGTCAAACCCAACAAGATCGTCTATGCCTATGATCGCTGGCAACCCCGATTCGACAGTATGCAAAAAAAGGATGGGATTCAGTTTCATCGCGGGTTACCGGACCCCGGTCATTTGACCCAATGGTTTGGTCGAACGCGCGGAGGAGTGTTGGTCTTGGATGATCTGATGGAAGAAGGGGGACAAGACAAAAGATTCTCATCATCGCAACATCACCGTGCTGTATTTGACGCAAGATTTATTCCCGCCTAGCAAATTTTCCAAGACCATCAATCGCAACGCGCATTACATCGTGGCGTTCAAAAACCCCCGGGATCAAACGGGCATACGGACAATTTTACTGCAAGCCTTTCTTGACTGGTGGCGTCAAGTCTTGCGCCTATTTAAACGCATCACGTCCCGTCCCTTTGACTATTTGATGTTGGATGTGCATCGTGCGTCGGATGATCGCTACCGTTTGTGGAGTCATTTAACGCCCCGAGAAGGCAAGGCGCAAGTCCACACCCTGCCCGTGGATGTCCCTGCCGTTCGACAACGAACTGCAACGAGAACTCGCAAGGGTCCGCCGGCAAAGAGAAGGCGGACAACATACTGACTTAGCGGCCCGCATGGACACTCCGACCCTCTCGCCCGCCGGCGTGGGCTCCCCCACGGCGCCCCCTCCCCTCAAGGATCTCAGCAGTATGACGGACATGGTGACCGAATTGACTCGACCGGTAGATCGTGCCCAATTGGATTAAGAGACTGAGACTTTCAATTTGACCTACCCGGTCAATGTGGACGATGCCTTGAATGCGTTTATCTTACCGCCCGTGGTTGGCACTGGCACCGCCCCCGCCATCACCACCACGGCACCTCCACCGCCACCACCCTCCATCACCACCGCCCCCACCACCACGGCGACTCATACCCGTCCCACCACGTCGACCCGAACACGCCCCACGACCACCACCACGACCAGCCGACCGCGACCCGTCACCTCCACCCGAACATGCCCCGTCACCACCGCCACGACCACCACCGCTCCCTCGCGCCCCCTCACCGGTCGCTGCAGCGCCGGGGCAGGGACCAGGACCAACACCTCGACGATGACGACCCCCACTGGACGCTCCACCATAGCCGCCAAACAACCGCGACGACTTCCCCGCTTACCCTCCCCTCCGTCACCTGATTCTTCCCCTCCTCCGTCGGAGGACGATGACGATGATGACGACGATGAGGATCGACGGTGGGGATTTAAGGCGACGGTTGGATTTGCTCAATGAAGATGCTCAACAACGTGCTCGGGGCAGAAGTATTCGCAACATCACGCACACCAATACAGTCACCACGGTCTACGAAGATGAGGGAGGTCGACCTTCTGTGCGCCGCACGTCCACCCGAACGTCCAGCCGAAGTCCACTGCCACCACGCCAAGGACGGGGCCGCGGCCGTGGCCGAACACGCGGACGGGGTTGATGCCCGTGAACAAAAAAAAAGATATAAAAACAGCGTCCTTCCTCCCACCGTCCTAGTACCATGTGTGGCTGTTGTCGAAACGCGAAGGCCCCTAGGCCCAAACGCAAACGCACCGCGACTCGACGTCGTCCACCCGCCAAATGACCACGGCGTATGACCTATAGTCAAGTAGGGGGTGTCTCGCCGGGTCTCATTGTGAGGATTGGCAAAGCCGGCTATGGGATCACCAAAGCCTTGGGGGAGCATCAACAAAAGCGAGCTTTGAAAATATCCGCCAAACGCCGACGGGCAGTGGACGAATCCTATGCACGTGGCAAACCGAAACGCTATGCGGGGGAATCGTTTAATTGTTCTATCATGTGAAAACGTATAAAAAGACCTTCGTGGGCCTGAACAGGGGTTAGTTGAAAGATCGTCCGTGGACCCAATGGACGCCGACATCGTTATGTCCCCCGAATACGACGCCGTCGACGTGGATTGCAACGGAGAGGCGTGCTCCCCATGTTGGCAGTGGCTCTCTCGTCTTGGGCGTTCAAGAAGAAGAAACGGCAGGCGCGCCGACGTTGAGGTGAGACCTAAAAGAAAAGCCGTCACGTTTGCTTTGGACTGGGACGAACAGTATGAAGCGGTCCTGTGTTCACGGTGTCGAGATCACATGCAAACGCATGATCATGGCGAATTGTGTGGCAGGTGTGGAGCCATTTTTACCATAAATAGACCTTGGTCGTTGCCTGAACTTAAGATTCATCATGGAGTGGCGCATGGAACGTCAAGCCCCGTTCTTGAAAAGTGTCTTACAAGAAGCTAATCAACACAAACGACAAGAATTGTTGCGGATGGCGAATGCGGATCAGATCAATGCTATCAGTGAATTGGTGATGAACACCCTCCGTGGCACGGTGCCCCGCTCCCGACACACCATTACGTTGCTCAAACCCCACGCACAGAGCTTACGCGCCATGGCCAAACCCGCCCATTTCGTCAGACGACAACGCGCCATCATGATGGCTCAAAAAGGGGGCGCCCTCTGGCCTGAACTCTACCGATGTTATAAACGTTGCATGCGCTAGACAAGAACCTCAGTTGCACCATGGAACCCGAGATGGTGAGCACCACGGTGGACAACGCCCCTGCTTTTTACAATTACGAGACAAGTACAAACAAGAATTGGTGGAAGATACCCGCTTGACCAAAGCCGCCGATTTAGCGGCCAAACAACATGTGCTCTTGACCAGCGATGCCCCCGATGCTTGGAAACGGCCTCAACTCAAAGCCGTGAGCCGTCAATTACGCCATTGGACCAAAAAAGTTCGCCAACCATTTGGGGCCCCGACCGGTGGTGTGAGCGCGACAGGGGCCGCGACCCCTGGCGACGATGATTTTGAGGCGGGCCCAATGCAGGCGTGGTTCACGCAATTGGTCAAGGTGACCCAGGGTATAAAACAAGGGTCCACGCCTGGAGGACCCAGAAAACCACCTGTCCCGCCCAAACCAAACATCACTCCCAGTGCCAAAAAGAAACTCAAGTTTACGCCCAAGGTGAGCAGTGCCGAGTTGTTTTCAGAGGACGTTGCCCCGAGACCTTGGGACACCCCCTCCTTAGCTGTCAAGCGCAAAATCAGACAGAAAGCCAAAGAGGTGGCAGAAAAGAAAGCCGCAGGTCTGGCCAAGAAAGCCTTGGATTGGAAAACGTGGAAAACCGCGTCATGGGACGGACTCAGAGACGCCGTGCTGCGCCCCGCTCCCGAGCGAGGCGACGTAGACGACGATCGCAACGTGGAGGCAAGTTATTCGATGTGCAAAACCTCCTCAACAAGACGGGCATTGAATTTCATTGGCCCGGCTATCAGTACATGGGACCCGGCACCCATTTGAAAAAACGATTGGCCCGTGGGGATCCCAGCATCAACCGGTTGGACAGGATTGCCAAAGCCCATAACATCGACTATGATAAAGCCAAGGACTTGAAAGATAAATGGGAGGCTGATCGCAAGATGATTGCCAAGATTGATAAACTCCCTGGCCGCAAAAGCCTGACGGAACGCATTGTTAGACGCATTATGAAAACCAAACTCCGATTGGGCATGTAAACCCCTTAGTCATAAAAAAGGCAACCTTGTTCAATGGCATAATACACATGTTTTAATAAAACTCATTTTTGTTCTTCCAAATAGTGGTCCATTTGTTACAATGCATCGGCACGAATCGTTTGCACTGTGTCCACATCAGGCTCAGACTCGGCCCAGTCTAAGGGCAACCACAGTAGGGGAAAGAGACGGTCCAATTGCTCGTCCAACCATTGCCATTCTCGACGCCGAATCGATTCTACACGCTTCTCATATCTCTGACTCTGCAGGGCTTTCCACCCCTCGACACCCAAAACTCGCTTTTTCTCGGCCTGTATCTCTCGCCGCCGCACATTCAATCGTTGTTTGTAGGCCTCGTAGGTCCCCTCCTCCTTCATTTTCTGCGTCCAATTTCTTTGACACTGGGCGTTTTTACGTTTGACTTCGTTCCGCTGCTCCTCCGACATGGCATGGTAGCGTCGCATGCCCTCTTGGATCTTTTTGGCCTTGAAGGCCTCGTACTCTCCGTTCGCTCTCATACGGGCCATACGTTCGTGGTAGCGTCGACGTTGAAGGGCCTTCACGTCCTCTACGCTGTTCAAGGCGGCATACTGGCGCTGCCGATACAGTTTTTGTTTTTTTTTGTTTTTTCAGGGTCCTGCTTTGTCCGGGGCTGGCTCGATCCTAGCGTATCCATGATCTAGTTCCAGTAATCGGCCGGCACACACGTCCGCCAACGCACGCAACTTTCGGAACGGGTGTTGTTAGTTCTGCTGAACCCGGGCACGACGGTCCCGCTGCTGCTGCACAATTCTCTCGCGGTTCCGGTGATAGTAGTCCCAGTTGAGGTGACGCACTTAAGCCAAATGCTTGGCTCGGTAACGGAGACAGGCCAGTCGGTTCGCCTCTCGGGCTCTAGCAATCTGCTCTGGTGTGGGGGCTGGTTTGGGTGGACGGGGTGGTTTGAGTTTCTTCTGGGCCGCTCGCCGTTCACGCTTCTGTTGCAACACTCTCTCCTTGTTTCTGAGGTACCACTCGTGCTTTGCCTGTTTCGCCTTCTCGGGATTTTTGTTAGGCATCTCGAACATCACTGCCAACTGTTCTGGACAAAGGATTATATCTAGGGTTCCCTCCGCCAATCACCGATCTCGGTCCAGGCTCAGAGGAGACTCAAGGAGTCTGTACCCATGGGGGGGACCACCCCTGATCTTCCTCCTGTCGATCAAACCCCTCACCTGACTCTCACCTGAGCCTTGTCCACCAATCCCCGTTCGCACTCGATCACGTGTTTTTGGGTCTATAAAAGCCAGCGTCTGGCGAGGGAAATTCAAATTGTTTTCCTCCGTCATGGCGGAGGACTACTGGTATCATTTTAGTGACGAAGAGGACAATGAGGATGCTCTGTTGGACCGCGCCTATGACTGGTGGGAACAGTTGGGAGGTGCCGCCGCCACCCGCGGTCCTCTCTTTCAATTCACCATGCAACCCATAGGTTGATGACGCGGCTGGCACGAGGTGGTGGAGTGGGCGCAATTGCGTCAATTGCGGGATCCTGTGGCTGGGGATAATATTGGGATGGCTTTAACTGAAGCGTTGCATCATGCCATCGAGACGGAACTCGACCGAGAGCAGCGACCCGCCCATCATTTTGTCAATTTTGCCATCACAGCTCATGGTTTCACCCACGCCTACCAAATAGTCAATTTTACCGTGGGGGAATTTTTACAACGCACCGCTCGTTTCGATGAGATGTCGGCCACCTTGGCTGGTAAATTAAACAGCAATGAAGCGTTCAACCCCGATCGCGGGTTCCAAGTGGATGTGGTGTTTGTATCCATGCCCAGCCCAGGGTCCGGTCGACATAAACAACGCAATGCGGGACGTCTATGCCTGGATCGAGACAACAAGAAAAAAAATGCATCATCACCATCCGAAACAGAGATGCTTTATGCTGTGCTCGTGCCATTGTCACCATGCGTGCCCACTGCCATAAAGATCAAGGCGTGGACGGGTTTCGCGACTGGGACAATCTCAAACGTGGTCGTCCTGTGCAGCAACGTCAAGCCCAGGCATTACATCAGCAAGCGCGAGTAGCTGAGGGTCCCTGTGGTTTGCCAGAGCTTTGCCAATTTCAACAGGCGTTGGGGCCTCAATATCAATTGCTGGTGATGACCCGGATGAAACCGTTTTTTCTGATATTCAAAGGACCCACAGCCCCTCATCAGATCCGTTTACTGAAATCCAATGATCATTATGATGGCTGCACGTCCTTTTCCGCGTTTGTCAACCGATCCTATTATTGCATGGACTGTGAACGGGGGTTCAACACCAACGACCGAACCAATCACACTTGTCAAGGGAGACGCTGCACTGCGTGTGGGCGCTTTGACTGTCCGGATTATGTGCGTGGCACCCGACCCACTGACCATTGCCCCTTATGTCACCGTAAGTTTTATGGTACCCATTGTATGCACCATCATGTGGTCAGCCGGCAATGTCAGTCGGTCAAAACTTGTCTCAAGTGTCAAGCCCAATACGCGGTGGTTCCTGACCGACGTCATAAGTGCGGGCACGCCAAATGCCCCGTGTGTCAGGAATGGGTGCCCATCCAGGACCACAAGTGTGTGGAAAACGAGGAGCCCGAACCAACAGAGGAGGGGGGAGGTTGCATGGTGGCGCCACCCCCTCCCCTGTTTGTTTACGCGGATTTTGAAGCCATGCAAAATGCGGAAGGAGTGTTTGTGGCTAATTTGTTGTGCTATTCGTCGAGTGAAGAAACGACCATTCATGTGTTGGACGGGGAGGACTGTGCCCTACAATTTTTGCGCGATTTAGATGATCTCACCGACATCCCGGACAGCGTGGGCGAGCGGGAGATTCTCGTGGTGTTTCATAATTTGAAAGGCTTCGACGGCATGTTTATTCTGCACGAACTGTACCAGCAACAACGCGAGGTGGCGGACCAACTCACGGTGGGTGCCAAAGTATTGTCCTTCAAGAGCAGACCCGTCAAGTTCATTGACTCGCTGTGTTTCTTGCCCATGCCGCTAGCCTCATTTCCCAGCACCTTCAATTTGACCGAATTAAAAAAGGGATTCTTTCCTCACTTGTTCAATACCCCGGATCATCAACAACACGTGGGCCGCATCCCCGATTTGGAATTTTACGATCCCGATGGCATGATGGCCAAAAAGAAAGATGAACTGACCCGTTGACACGCGGACCAAGTCCGTCGTAATGTTACGTTCAATTTCAAGCAAGAAATGATTGACTATTGCAAGTCGGATGTCGCTCTCTTGAAAGCAGGGTGTGAAGCCTTTCAACAAGAATTCGAACGGCAGGCTGGCTTCAATCCCATGGCCAAATGCATCACCATCGCGAGTGCCTGCAATCTGTATTGGTGCAAGCACCATCTCACCCCCAACACCATTGCTGTCGAACCTCTGGGTGGCTGGCGAGGGGCCCAAGTCAACCAATCGCTGAGAGCCCTGCAGTGGCTCTATTACCAAGAACACCTCATTCCCAAGGAGGGGGCTAGTACCGACCGCATTCGGCACGTTCGTAACGGGGGCGAACAGTCGGTCCGAACCATCGCCAACAGCTATTTTGTCGATGGCTACGATCCCCTGACTCGCACCGTCTACGAGTTCCACGGGTGTCTCTACCGTGGCTGTCCCCGTTGTTATCCCGTGAGAAACGCCACCCATTATGCCACGCCGGATCGAACCGTCGAGGAACTCTATCAAGCCACGCTCTCCAAACGCATGGCGCTGCTCCGAGCAGGTTACACAGTGATCGAAATGTGGGAGTGTGAATGGGACAAATTGGTGGACACCGATAAAGCAGTCCAACGTTTCCTGAATTCATTCGATCTCCCCCCACCTCTGGAACCTCGCGAGGCCTTCTTTGGGGGTCGAACTGGTGCCGTAGCCCTGCATGCCGTGGCTGGGGAGGGCGAGGAGATACGTTATGTGGATGTCACCTCCCTTTACCCGTGGGTGAATAAGAACTGCCCCAACCCCATCGGTCATCCGAAAATCATCACCCAACCCGCCGACCAGTCCCTGGAATCCTATTTTGGTCTGGCCACCGTGGATATTCTTCCCCCCGCTGGTCTGTTCCACCCCGTCTTTCCTGTACGCTGTGGCCAAAAGCTCACCTTTCCTCTCTGCCGTTCTTGTGTTCAGGAGCAGCAAGCCCCACCCATGTTGACCAGAACCCATTATTGCCCTCATTCTGACGCTGCTCGCATGCTACGCGGAACTTGTACACGCCCAAGCTCGTCAAAGCCATCGAAAAGGGGTACACGCTGATCAAAATCCATGAAGTCTGGCATTTTCCCCCCGAGCAACGCCAAACGGGTCTCTTCGCCAATTACGTCAACACGTGGCTCAAGATCAAACAGGAATCGGCGGGGTGGCCCAGTTGGTGTCAGACCCTAGAGCAGAAACGAGACTACATTCTTCGTTACCAAGAGCGCGAGGGCATCCGTCTGGACATTAGCAGCATTGCCAAAAACCCCGGTCGCAAGGCTACCGCCAAGCTCATGCTGAACAGTTTCTGGGGTAAATTCGGGGAGCGGATCAACAAACCCACCACTGTCACTGTGAAAGACCCCACCCATTTGTTTAGCCTCATCTCCGATGCCGCCCTGGATATCAGCACGCTCCGCCTCTGTACCGACGATATCCTGGAAGCCGTCTACACCAGCGTCCAAGACAATGCCGTCAAAGGCACCAAGACCAACATTTTTGTGGCGACTTTCACCACCTGTCATGCTCAGCTCAAGCTCTACGAGTCCCTAGACACCCTTCAACAGCAAGTCCTCTACTATGATACAGATAGTGTGGTGTACAAGTGGCGTCCCGGTCAACCCAGCATTGCCACCGGGGATTTTTTTGGGGACATGACGGATGAATTGGACGGAGACGTCATCACTGAGTTTGTTTCGGGGGGGGGCTAAGAATTATGGCTACCACACCCGTGGAGGCAAAGTGGTGTGCAAGGTACGCGGTTTCACGCTGAACGTCCGCGGGTCGGCTATCCTCAACTTGCGCACGATGAAAGAGAACATTCTCTCGGAATTAGACTCGCCACAGGACTCTCGCTGACACTTGAATATTATGACCCCCTATTATTTCAAACGAGATTTGGAACGGAAACAAATTCAAGTGGTTCCGCGCGTGAAGCAGTATGGCTTGGTGTTCGACAAGCGCGTGATCGATGTAGCCACCCGATCCAGTCATCCCTATGGCTATGAAAGGATTGGGGACGAATTAGACCTTCTGTTAGATTTGTAAAAAATGGGCGTGACGTCACTTGGACGTCACATACGTCCCGCTTGTTACCAGGCTCTACTCTCGAGATTCATTAAAACTATGTGAAAAATGTGGATCTAACTCTTGTGTGCGTGTGTTCTATATCCCATGGGGTGACGTGAATTTTCATGACCATATATGGGCATTGCGACGTCATTTGGGTCACATGACCTATATGCTCGATTCTGATTGGTTGAAAAATTTTTTGCTGCGCTCTGATTGGTTGGGACCTTTTGTAGCCCTTTATACTACTATTATTCGCATATGGATGCTATGTTAAAGTTAAAAAGTTTGAGCACGATGGTCGATATCAAGAAGATTCGCCAGCTATATGACCAAATTGAAATCCATGTTCGTGGATTACAAGAAAAAGGGGTGGATTCGGCGTAGTATGGCACAATGCCTATCCCCATTATGATGGCAAAATACCAAAAGATCTACGCCTTATCCTCAGTCGTCAATTCTGTGGTGACAATTGGAATTTAGATGAGCTATTAAAGGCCTTTAAGACCGAACTAGATGCACGTCTTCGAGTGTGGGAATATCAAGCCGTACTAATCAAGTACACTCATCACTGCCAAAATGGAAGGGAGAAGAAGGTTCTGGAAATCCAACAGCGGCAGCTGTGGCGTCATTAGTCGAAACATAAATTGCACTTATTGTCACAAGTCACATCCCTCTGTGACTCGTTATGTTATCTCCGACGTGAAGGCTAGAAAATCTTCGCTTCTCACACAAGGTCCTAGTGATAGAGACCCACTCAGATTTATTGGGCTGGATGACATCCACAAGGATAATCCAAAGGAAGTCGTGCAACGATTTTGCAGAGTCGTCTTTGGAGTAACAAGGAGCCCATTTCTTCTGAACATCACCATAAAACAGCACCTGCAGAAATACGCAAATGGAAACCCAGAACTTGTTAAGGCCTTGTTAAACAGTCTTTATGTAGACGACATGACATCTGGGGATTCGACTGTCGAAAGAGGCACACGCATCAGAGCTGAGTGAGAGTCCTGTATGGTTTCGTAGTCCTGAGTAGTTGCAAACAAGCGAGAAAAAGGTGGTTTTTACACAGGACCGAGACTGATGCACCAGCAGAATGTCTCCAGGAAATTAAATCCTCTAATACAACAAATCTGACAGCGATAGAAGCATCCGCGGCTGCTACCATCGATTGCAACAGATACAGCAGTCTTCAGCGACTACTAAGGGTCACCGCCTATGTCAAATGGTTCGTTCACAATACCTCTGAGTATTAATGAGAAACAGGAAGCCAAAATCTTGTGAATAAAGGAGATGCAAGGGCATTTGCATGTAGATGAACTCAAAAAGAAACTTGAACTGTTCAAGGACGAGAAGGGCATAATTGGTTGCAGAGGACCACTTGGGAACAGCGAAGCATCATATGACACAAAATTTCCTGTGCTTTTGTCACGGAATCACTGTCACACCAACGACCATTCCCTATGGTCACGAACGTGTCAAGCACAATGGTTTAAAGGAAACATTAACAGAAGTTCATTCTAAGTACTGGATCCCAAAGGGGACACAAACGGCGAAGAACAAACTGATTGGATGTAATATATGTCGAAGATTTCAAGGCAGGAACTATCCAGTTCCAGAATCGCCCGATTTACCAGAATTTCGTGTCAGGGATGTGCCCGCTTTCAGCTGTGAAGGAGTTGACTTCGCTAGTCCTTTGTTTTTAAAATCAAAGGTGAAGGATGAACCAGAGATGACAAAGGTGTATATTGCTCTGTTCACCTGCGCCACTAGTCAAGCAGTTCATTTAGAACTGGTCCCAAGTCTAGACGCCCTGTGTTAGAAGATTTATTGGACGCCGTGGTCTCCCAAAACTAATTGTTTCAGGCAACGTGGAAACCTTTCAGGCCTCAGAGAAGACCTTAGTTAGCCTATTTGAACTGGAAGACGTACAAAAGCACCTGTGCAGAAAGGGGATAAGATGGCAGTTCAACCTGGCAAAGGCGCCATGGTGGGTGGATTTTTGAGTGCTTGGTGAAACGAGTGAAATCCTGTCTGAAGAAAACACTCGGAAGATCGAAGCTTTCATTTGATGAACTCGCAACTATTCTTGTCGAAGTTGAAGCAGTTCTGAATTCAAGACCTCTATTCTCACGATGTTGATCGAAGAGTCTCTAACGCCATCGCTTTTAATCATTGGGCGAAGACTTTTAACTCTACCCGTGGGACCTCTTCAAATTGGGACTTTGGAGACCATATAACTGCTACCAAACGTTCTCGCTATCTTGCAGATCGGATTTAGCACTTCAGAAGGAGGCAACAATAATATCTCGTCAAGTTGAGTGAATGTCACCTTCCCAAAGGCAAGAATCTCACGTTATCTCCTGTGAGAATTGGTGATGTTGTTATCGTTCACGACCAGGGAACCTCACAGAGAGCGTTCTGGAAGCTTGCAAAAATTAGAGATTTGATCAAGGGAAGAGATGGAAAAGTTCACGGAGCATGAGTGTTAGTTGTAGGAAAGAAGACCCTTATCGAGATACAACTTCAAGATTTGTTTCCTCTCGAAGTTCATGCTAGCAACACAAAATCAATCAATCAAAATAGTATCACGGAAGATGAACTTTGCAGAGTGAATGATGGAGTTTCAGCTACACAGACAAGACCTTGTCGAACTGCAGCAGTTGTTGCAGAGGAGAAAATCAAGCTTATTGACCACTTGTTACGCTAAGAACTGAACAGTTCAACATTCTCATTGAGCCAGTACAAAAAGTGGTTAAGGGGGAAGTGTCGATAGTTTTCTGATCTGAAATACTGAGACATTGATTTTGTTTTGTTTTATTAATTTGCCATTGCGTTACTTGTAGCTGTCACGACCATTTTTTCATCAGATTAGAGATAAATCGCTTCTACGCTTAATAGGTTAGATGTAACGGAATGATGTATCAAGTCAATCAACATTGTCGGTTCTTATCGTGAACGAAAACAATGAACAGATGTTACTGATGCATTTTAGGTTTGCATGCTCACACGATATATTCAGATGTAATCAGCTTTTGCACGGAACGGGTCCTTTCTGAAAACAGTATATCACTTTTGAAAGAGTTGAATTTAGCACTCATTCTCAACAGCATTAGCCACAATAATGACGAGGGTATTCATCAACGCGGTGCGCAGTCCCAAGTGAAGACACAGAAAACGACGCTTTAGCAGTCCATAGCATCTCTCAATAGGGACCTTACGATCCGACAACGGCGACGGCGACGTGGGACATTTTTACTTCCGGTTACGTACTGCGCATGAGTAGATTTCTGAGACGGCGGTGTCCCTTCATGCGCGGAAACGTGAAAAACGCGAAAACGTGGAAATTAAAACCCAACTATGGCAAAGGAATCAAGGTAAAAACGAGACTTTGCGACTAAATTTAAAGAATACTAGTTTGTATGAAATGTCCGAAACGAACAGAGCGTGGAGTCTTTTGTATACGACCACAAACTGAATGGAGAGAGATTTGACTTATTTTGCTTTGTATTTGTTTGTGATTGTACTTCACTCGCTATCACTGAGCTTTCTTATCACTTACTTTCCAACTTTTTTCTCGATCAAAAAAAGAGAACAATTAAACTTAATTTTATTTTGGGTTTACTAGGAAATAGTAGAGAGATTTTGTCGGCAGCGGTACTAAATTCGACCGATGCAAAGTGTATAAATACTTTCATTGAGCTAATTTTCATTTATAATCGTAGATCAACCTTATTTTACAAGGAACTCACTGGCTGGGTTGAACAGTTATATCGACGAATTCCGACTACCGCAAATATTGCTATATTTATAACTGAATAAAAAACAAATACAAAACAGAGACGTTCACATAATTTCCACTGTTTCCTAATTAAATAAGAATTATTTTACAAAATCCAAACTTTATTGATTGCCCAATATTTTGCTCCAAATGCTACACATTTTTTAGTAATTCATGACTGTTTTCATTTGAAAGCGTCCTTCCAACCTTAATTGTATGTTTCCCTCATTCGGAAGGCGAAGGATAACCGTCATGTATTCTCATGATCATTTCTTTATCTGTCAACAAGTTCAGCTAATTTATTGGAGGACTAAAGAAAACAAAGATATTGTCTAATATTATGATGATCTAGATAATACCACCCAAAGCTAGTTATGTTATTTGTTTTAAAAATTTTGATCATGATTAGGACTAAGTGCTAGTAAATCTCAGATACAATGATAATTTTATTGTTAGCAAATTTTGCTGATATACTGATAGTTCTTCCTCATGAAGTAATTTTTGTTGCACTGCACTTTCAGTCAATCAATGAAATGGACTGAACAACACGAATTGCTTATGTTGAGGGAATTGATGCTTTTGCAGCCATGGCTGCACAAGAAAGAAATAGTGAGAGAGGAGATGATTGGGAAAAGCTGGCAGTATCCTTAAATGCTATTCCTTATCCCCAATTCCGTGTTACTCAACGGTCTGTTCGTGACCACTATTCAACAATGGAAAAGAGAAGAAGGAAAAAAGTCAGGGAAGAAGACAGAGCCTCAGGTATTGCCACTGAAGAGGACAAGGAACTAGATCAACTGTTAGATGAAACCATTGAACTCTTTGATGAGTCTGACAAAATCACAGATCAAACAAAACAAAAGCAGGAAGAAGAAGCAAAGAAAGCAGAGGAAATGCGGAAGAGATCATTGTAAACTTTTAACGATAGCGCCAAAAGGAATGCCGATGAACAGCAAGGAGCAAGACCGAAAAAGGGTAGAGCTAGTGGTGCAAGCACTCTGGCTTACCTGAAGGATAGGGCAGAAGTAGAAGCTACTTTAAAACGTGATGAATTGGAGATAAAAAGGCAAGAGTTAGCACTGCAAGCAAAGGAGCAGGAAGGAAGACAACAGCAGTTTGATATGATGAACAAGCACACTAGAGATATTCAGCAGCTTCAGCAGCAGCAAATGCAGCAGTTTATGCAAATGAATGCAAACATGATGCAACAGCACCAACAACAAACCCTTGCACTTATGGAACTAATGAAAAAGTTTGCTGCGAAGTGATGCTGGTCAATCTCTGCAAGAGGTCATTTAAATGCACAAAGAGTTCACATTTTTATTAACTTGAACATTTTCAAGGAAGTTAAAAATTAAAGATTTATAATAATAGTTACTTGTTTACATATATAGTTGTAAAGGAAATGTTGCTTAATTTTGCCAACCTTTGAAAGTCGCCGAATTGATGTTATGCCAGTATCAAAACTGGGGCTGAGCCTTTATCAAGGCAATAGGGCTTATCCAACTATAGAATTGCATTACTGTCTGTAAACATGCTCACCATTATTTGTTCTCATTTAATAGTTTGTTTTGGTGGCATTTATTTCACTTTAATTCCAATATGTTAGCCTTTCTCGATTGTATAATTTTTTTTTGTTAAAAAGCAGTTCAATTTTCGAAAGGAAAAGTGTTATGTAACTTTTGTAAAACCTGTTTGGCAGACTTAGTGAAAATAATCCCCAATTTCTGGGGGAGAAACATCAAAGTAGTCTGATGTGGTGGATCCGTAACAACAAACACGAGCATTGTGAAGAAGGGCACAGGTCACATACATTTTGCCAACAGCACTTAAACTTATTTTCAAGTTTTTTTTTGAAGTCCAGAAATTTAAAATAATTTATTATATCACCAAAAATCCATTCAACAGAAACTCTGACTTCACTCATAGATTCATTCCATGCAGACTGTATGGGAGTTAGTCCAGCTCCTCGAAAAGGTCCTTGCAGATGTAGTCGAAGAGGATATGCCGGATCTCCATAAATACATAGGGGGTTCCCATTTGTGTCCACTGAAAATCGTTGCAATTGGTTTAACACTCCAGATCTAGCTAACATCCCACTGTCATGTCTCTTTCCCTCGACAGGCCCAAACAGGTTGGCAACAAGGCCACTGGGTGCTGCGATAGATTAAAACTTTATAGCATGGACTTTTTTTGTGACCATTGTATAAGGACTTTTGGTTTTGTCCTGGTCGGCATTTGGGCCTCACAGTACCGTCAACAAACCCCCAACAGTTGTCAAGAGCAGCTCCCCTGTTGTGAACTGCAACGGCAAACTCCTCTAAATGATCGGGTCTTAACCAATCCTGGTTCAAATCAGTGAGAAGGCGGTTCCATGTTTGATACATCTTGTTCATAACAGCATTTGAGATCATACACAATTGTGGTTCTGGCCTTCCAAATCTGGGTATCATGTCTACGTATCTACAGGGATAGGCAAATCTTTTAAGAAAAATGCACAATGCCTCAACCATGTCGACATTTACACCATTGTAGCAAACGATCCAATCCGGTAAAGTAAACACCTCTGCCAAGTTGTAAATGCACTTCTTGTAAAATCTAAACTCAGTTTTACATTGTTCATCGGTCATCTTGTCGAGATCGAAGCACTCGTAGTTAGTGTACGGTAAATCCGGATTTTCAGGCTTGTGTAAATCGTAGAGTAGCACGAATTCTTCACCATTAATCAAACGGGAAGCATGAGCCAGGAGAATAGCGTCACGGAACTTTGGCATGGCTTTCTAAAAAACTTTCGTTGACTTAAACACGATAAACATCAATGACCGTCGTCAACGTTCTCGCTCGTAAAATTCGTAATCTCAATTTCGGCGGGAACGCCAACACGACGTGGCCCCGCTCGACCCAGACTTCTCACGTTGCCGTTGCCGTCGCCGTTGTCGGATCATAAGGTCCCTATTAACACACCTAGTATGCCTCTGTGCAGTATTATAGCGCACTCTTCCTGAATTCTTTGGCTTGAGGATTGGTGTCATTAAATATGCTCTACAAGCGTATCGACTGTCACCCACAAGAATGCCATCAATAGCACCATCCCTTAATTTGTCTGCGATCTTGCTGTTCTAAAAAATGCACGAGTCGTGCGTCGATCCAGGCCAGCGAGCTACAATGTTAGTAATAAAGGCCTCGCTATCACAAACGGCTTGGACGTTGATGGAGTAAAACTGCTTTCTGTTAGCAAATGCCATAGCATTTTCTTTGTTGGGACATATTATCCTGATGTGGGTACCATTGATGGCGCTGATCACACCTGGAAAGTGCACAACATCATAAAACTTTCTCTTTGTATCAGCCAGGTTTTCTGTGCTCTTTGTTTTGCAATAGCCCTTGAAACCTTGTCAACTGCAGTACATGCAGCAAATGCACTAACACCAAATAAATCGCCAATAACCCTTTGAAATGGTGTTAGCAGCAGTCCTCTCCTTGTTTGATGTTGAAGATCTTTCTCCAAAATTTTTACGAGGTCAATGACTGAATCCTTTCCAAGGTGAAAATGCAAACGAAAGTCGTCATCGTGGTATTCCTCTAAAGGGCTAGATCTATCCTTAAGGTGTCGAATAAGCACATTTCGTCGATTGGCGTAGTTTCTAAACTGTCTGTAGTGCAGTGGTCCCTCCATTTCAAAATGGCTGACCATGAAAATATTGTTAAACAATGTTTAAACCTACCTTTGAGCAGGTCTAACTTACTATTGTCCCTTAGTCGGTGTTCAGACATTGTCTGAAGACTGTTATAGAAAAACATCGTTTAAATAATCGGTATTTATGGTTTAAAAATTGGTTAAACGATGACTTTCATAAACACTGTCTAAACATGGTTTAAATAACAGGTCCACTGTATTTACACGTAAATAAAAGCCGCTGATTGCCAATGTAGTTTTGAATCGCAAATAGGAAATACCTTGTGAAAACAAAAATTGCAAATTGATATGTATTTCAGTATATTTAAACGGGACATTGCACATATATAGAGAATACTTCATGGAAAGTGCTGGCGTACGGTATTTACGCACTCGTTGTTTTTGTATCAGAAATCGAACGAGTGAGCGCGAACGAGTGTTTATTATATACATACTGAGACATTCATCATTTTGGTGGCCTTTTTATTTTAAATCTTTCAGAAATGCTAACAGTTGCCGCTACACACTTACCGCAAAATGACAGCGAAAACGAACTATCAACTTTTTAGTAAAAACGTTTGTTAAAAACATAATTGACGGTAAGGATATGAGGTAATCCAAGAACTATAAGTAATCTTAACTGTTTGTTCTCATCGCACAATTGAAAATGAGTGAATTTAAGTAAAATGGCCGGTTTCAATATAAGCTTAAGCTTAAATGAAAGGCAAAGTAGCTCCAACAAAAAGCACAACAAAAGCTTACGTCTCGTTCTGTTTTTCCCTTTCCGCTGTTGTTTCGCCGGCTCTCTACCGTTTTCTTTATGGAAAGTGAAACAAACGAAACTATTCCACTCCATTTCTGGAATGTTTTTCACTTTTTTAGCGAGAAAAACTCTTTGAGTAAAACTTTTCTCGTTGAATGTGTGCGAAGCGGCGCTGCAAGGTGCAATAAAAGGCTGGAAGTTTGGCGCGAAACTCACACACCTCTGTTGCTTCTGATTGGACGTATCATTTTTCTCTCACGTGAAAAAACGTCGTTCGCGATTCTGATTGGATGTATCATTTTTTTTCACGTGTGAAAACCATCGTTCGCTCCTCTGATTGGCTAGAACTAATATGCGTACGAACATTTACGACATAGCTTTTTGGTGAGTATTTCTCAGTATGTATATAATAAAGCGCAATATAGGAAAACACATCTAGGGTATTTTGTAGTGGTAAGAGCGACTTCCGTTTTTCAATTATTTTTGGTCAAAAAGAAGAGTTTATGTGCTTTGAATCTCCCCTCCACCACCACTACCTTTCAACATTTTTTGATGACGTCAAACCCTAGGGTATTCTGATGTCACTTACTCCTCGCCAACTGAAAATTAACTATGACATCATCCTATCTTAATGAGATGTATGACGTCATCGGCATTAATGTATTCCTGCGTAAGTTAATGAGATTCCTATGCATTGAAACGGATAATTCAGTGCCTCCCCCACCACTGTGGATGTACTTTTAGAGCTGTTAATGAATTGACGAATATGAATTTTCTGCTGGCACCTTCTGATTGGTTAACCGACACCATAAATTCGCCCGCATAGAATGCGTTCTTTCTTTCTCTCTCACACATTCCACTTTCAGACATGTTTACCATTCGTTTTATCGCAGAGATGTCTGATGTGGAGTCAGTTGTAAATTTCGGAGCTGGTTGATGAAGTATCTTCCTTGTTTAAAAGATACCTTAATACTACACTTGGGGCACAAGGGAAACTAATAGAAGGTCAGTCGGAAATACAGAGGTCCTCCTATGCATTCAAATTCAAAGGTAACAGGAAACAATTCGAGGTTAACGCCAAACTAGGAAAGTCTTCTCTCCAGAATTAAAGCTAAGTCAGGTTAATACCTTAGTACAGGAAGCTCAGCAGATGATTCACAAGAGGCAGAAATTAATACAGATTGTGGACCACAGAAAAGTCGGTTGGTTGGTTGTTCACGAATATGAGTCAGACGACCTCACCTCGAACTTCGAAGACCAGAAAAGCCTCACGAAAGCGAAAAGTGCAGCGGAAAAGAAGAGGAAAAACCCTGAAAGGTAGAAGCTGGGTTCTCCGCAATGTTTCAAGTCTGACAATGGTAATCAGCTTTTTCGCTGTACTATTCTTTTCTTTATATACTTTTCTTTGTTATTTCTCACTTGGTTGGAATGCCTGAACATCCAACATCAAATAGCGTGGTTTGTTTTGTATATATTACATTCAAGAGGTAAATAATTTACATTTGTTTGAGCGAAGTGAATTAGAATGTAAAAGTATTTTTCCCTGGCATGTTGCAATTCTCTACAGGGCTCTCTGGCACCTTCTAATTGGTTAATCTGCACCATAAATTCGTCCGCATAGAATGCGTTCTCTCTCTCTCTCGCATTCCACTTTCCGGCGTGTTAACTGTTCATTGTCCCACCCTCCCGCCTGATTAATATTGTTTATAATATTTCGGACTAATTCGCATTTTTGTTTTCTTTCTTAGGCCATGCAGAATTTGATGCAAACCGTTCCAGCATAAACAACAGGTAAACTATAGTCACCCTAAAAAAGTTCCCGAGCCTGCGATCAATGAAAGCCATGGGCTCTAGATACAGACATATTTATGACAATGGTCATAACACATGCCTTGGACTCCATGTTTGCAAGTAAGACATTTCACATCTGCCAGACAAAGTATGGCCAAACACACGTTCGTGGGGACGATTAAATTTTAGTTGCAGTAAAATAGCTTAGTTGCACAGATAACTAAAAAGTTTCTCATTTTCATGTTTTTCTTTCAATTCCACTTTCCGTTTTGCTATTCTGAGCTGTTTTAATCGCGCTGAAACATTCCACTTTGCTTTCCTCCATGTTTGTTTACCCCTAAATAATCCTATAACTGCTTGTGCACCTAGTTTGGTTCCCAGGCTATCACGCTTTTCTGAAGTGAGCTATTCCTAACAGGAGAGGTAATTATTCACCACACCATACAGTAGATAGAAAAGATCGCGAAACAACGAAAGTGCACTAAGTTTATTATGGATCAGCGAAATCATCCAAGGAAGAACTCTTCGTCTGAGTAAAGATCACAGTTCTACCCCTCCAACATACGTTACAAAATTTGGATTGTATTTAGACGAAGAAATGATCAAGTGTCAGAGGAGACTGAACAATGCATCATTGCCTGTAAACACAAGAAACCCCGTTCTAATGCCAGCGAAGCACGAATGTACTCATTTGTTGATCAAGCAGTCACACGAGACTGTCAAGCACAATGGTATAAGAGACACTTTAACGACCTTGTGAGAATGATAGTGGATGCTGCGTTGACAAGAAGTTGTGAAGAAGATTATTTCAAGTTGTGTTGACTGTCACAAACAGGAAGGTTCACCATTCAACGCCTTACCTCCTACCAATTTACCACACACATTGGCATAGACTTTGCTGGACTGTTGTATGTCAAAACCAAGAATTCAGAAGACGAAAGGAAACAATCACAGAAAGTCTATGTTTGCCTTTTCACCGGTGCATCTACCTACGCTGTACATTTGGAACTACCAGGAGCACTTAGTGTCAAATCGTTTTTGCTACCCTTTCGCAGATTAACCATCACTTCAGACAATGCCAAGACGTTTAGATCTACATCTCAAGACACACGAAGGATAGCCTGACCAGAAATGTGACGATACCCTGCAAAGAAGCAAATTACATGGAATTTCATTATCGAAGAACTAAGGGGA